TTTAATATTGCTACATTTAATAAGATACTTAATTATTGGAATTTGTAACATCAAATTCTCAATTTGAATTACCAAAACTTGCATATCATATTTTTTCTATCGCAGTTAATACTGCATCTGTTGAGTAATATTCAGCTCAATGAATTTTCTTCATTCACCAAGAAAAAATTGATTAAACAATGATAAAATTCTTACTATGTGTCAACTATGAGGAAATTTGTATTGTGCACATCGATTAGATAAACTTAAAAAAATGGAAGAAACATATAACGATATTTTATTAGACTCTGTAGCTAAGACAAATGAAAGAATTGAGGTTGCTCAAAGGATTGATGATAAACCAGTATAGAAAAATTTTCCGAAGATTTAAATTGGAAATGAAGATACTATGCGTAAAGTTATTAATAGATGGATAGAGATATTAGAAGATGAGGAAACTGAAGTTATAGAATAAGCTGATATTATTAATATGATGATAGAAAACAATCAATCATTAGATAACAAGAACATCCATGCCAAGGCCGTAGTGCAATATGTTTATTAGAAAACTGTTTATTGCCGATTGTATTTTAAGACATAATGACAAGCCTTAATAAAGATTCCTGTTATTATTCAATAGAAAGTGACAGTTCAAGACATGGTCATTTAAAAGCTGGTTATCCTTCAAATCAATAATAACCATTTTTTTATAACCTTCAAGTATTTCGTTAAAGTATTACAATTTTCCCGAACAAATCACTTTAAGCCTCACATTTCGATGACCAAGCCACCATTAACGGATCAAGTTGTGGCTTTTGAGGGTTAGTCGGGTAGACTTGTTTATTTTCAAAACGAATTTGGTTAATACAAAAAATTTTCGTGTTTTTTAAATAGAAAAAGAGAATCTTTTCGAGTACATTACTTTTTTAACCAAGCCTGATTGAAAAGATCCAAGTTATATTTATTTATTTATTTTTTTTTTTAATATAAAAAGGTCAATCGATCATACTAATTATGGGTAAATCAATTAAAAGAATGAAATATTTTTAAAAAATGTAGAACGAGCGGAAGAGAGATATATAATACTTTTCCGTATATTATCGATTAAAGTTACATTGCGAAAGTGGTGGCAGAAGGGTGGTAGTTGTGGCTATGTGTTAATGATTTTTTTTTTATTATTATTTTGTTATTTTAATTTGAAAATGATATTAAGAAATGGTTTTCGTGTAAGATTTGGCTTTGCATTCAAATTCAATTGGATTGATCTCATGTTAAAAAAAAGATGGTATAAAAGAAAGTAATGGTATTTATTTTTTTGATTTTTTCAAATTTTCAATATATATCCTTTTCTTCTTTCCCATTTCAAAAGAAACGTAACTGCGCCAAGTAAAATCGAAAAAATGTCATCAAGAAAGTCAAAGATGCAATTTAATCCGTCAGAATCCGAGAAATCGCGAGGAGTAGCAACAGAATGTTGTTGTTGTGTTTGCACTCCTATCATTATGGCAGTCGGAACTTGTTGCTGTTTAGTTATTGTAATATTTATCATATTGGTTGTAAGTAGTAGAAACATGACATGATGATGGATATTTAAAGTAAAAAACAATGAAAACAAATTAATTAATCGGAGATTATAATAAAATAGATTATCGCGGGAGTTAATATTCATGCTTGTAATAAACTCAGTGAGAAAGTGGACATTAATAACGTTATACCCACCAACTTTACTTATGATCCGAACATTTTTCAAAATCTCGAATTCAACTCACTCAACAGTATCATGACCAAAGTAAGTAAATTAAAAAGTATGATCATGATGATTCTCATTCTTTATTATTATTCTTATTATGGTTAAAAATTATTATAGACGGGAAAAATATATGTTTCACAAAGTAATTCAACTAGCGATACAAATGTAACGGTTTCGGTTCGTATCGCGGCCACCAAAACAAATGAAGCATGGGTTAAAGGTGAAGACGTTGAAGCTATAAAGAGAATTACCGTGGTATGTATAACTCGTACGGGTGCGATTTAACGTGTATACTAAAAAAAAAAAAACTTTTGTCGTACATGTTGATTAGGAACGAAGCAATACATTTAAAGGAGCATTTGCGTGGGTGGGATATCTTAGTTTGCCACCAAGATGTATTTTAGCACAGGTGGATGTTATACTTCCACAAGTGATTCCTGCTACCACATCGATTGTAACGGATGTAAACGATATTGTGGTTTATTCAAATTCGGTACCTTACACCTCTTCAAAGGTCAAACTAACAACGATAAATGGCGAAATTGATGTTAGAAATCTTACAGTGGAAAGTTTAAATTTAAATACTAATAATGGGGATATTAATGCTTCCGTTTTAGGAATTACAAGTGAATTATTCGCCGCTACTGATAGCGGTAAAATCCAATTAAACGTAACAGTTGATCCTAGCGCAACCAATCCAAAGATTGAAACCACCAATAAAAATGGTTTCATTCAATTAAATTTCGTAAGTCTTAAATTTTTTTCCCCTCCATTTTTTTGCACGATTGAAATGATACATTATTTTATTTTATTTATTTTTTTTTTTTTATAGAATTCTAGTTTTAACGGAGGTTATAATGTAACGACGGGTAATGGTAAAATTATGGTTTATAACGCTTCAATTGAAACTACCAATGAAAATAAAAAGAAAGAGGGTAAAGTTGGAGAAGGAAATGGTAATTTGGTCGTTAATACGAAGAATGGTGATATCGATGTTACCTTTTAGATGATACCTTAAAAATAGAAATTTACTGTATAATTAATTCATCATTAATTCATGGATTTACAATAAAAATATTTATTTATAATTTTTTAAGATCTGATCAAACGAACAAGAATTGACCCGCAATGGCGCCAAATATAACTAACAACAAGGGCAAATAAGGAGTTTTAAAGGAATACAAGGCAGCCAAAGAGATCATATAAACCACAGCGGCAATACTATTATGTTGAGCGGAGATTATAGGCTTTTCATCATCCGATATATTGATCAAAACGGTGGAAGTGGTAATAGAACTTTTTAATAAATCTAAAGCCGTTACGGCAATGAGACCGACGACACTACCTGTAATACCATCAAAAAATGCTGCGCAAAATTTATTTCGCACCATCTTTTCTAATATGGTGTTTCCCATTACGGCCATTAAGAAGCATGGTATAAATACTGCAAGCGTTACTAATATAGATTCAAGAAATGCGTATCCAATGCCTCCAAATGTGTTTCCCGCTTGAAATCCGATAAAGGTTGAAAACATAACGAGTGGTGTAGGAAGGATGTTGCTATAACAAACGAAAGGGTTGGTTTATTATATAATAAAATATGAATTATGTTTATAGTGTATATATTTACCCAATGGCTAATGCATCCAAATACGTTTGTTGGGTCATCCAATGTCCGATCGTTACCGCTTCGGCTTGAATAATTGGAATGACAGTCTGCAAATCAAAAATGAAACGTTACTTCACAAATAACAAAGAAAAAAAAAAAAATAGAAATTCTTTGATACGGAAAATATATTACGTAAGCACCACCAAATGATAAAGTGCCTGCTATTAATCCTAAAGCAAAGATATGACCGGGGCTAGGAGTGGGGGCTACACCAAGCCCCAGGGAATTTAACGAAGGGATGCCCTTAAAAATGACATAGATAATGAAACCGATAATTTCGGATAAAAAAAAGGCACCAGCGGCCCAATAAAATTTTCGATCAATTAACATAAATAATAGACCGCAAGCGATTAATGTAATTAAATAATTAATCCTAAGGGCGGTTTGTAATGCGGATAAAACTGCCAAACCAAATAACCAAATATTAAACCTTTTAGTTCTATTGGAAATAAAGGTATGTTCACCAATTTTATGCACCGCTCTTAATACCATGGCTGCTACGATTGGTTGTAAACAACGAAACGATGCATTAAAATATTGATTGCTAAACCCCACCAAAACGTACACATAAGAAAATATCATCAACAACACAAATCCTGGTAAAATGAATCCCAACCCTCCCAATACTCCTCCGATTCTACCACCTGCTAAACTGCCAAAGTATATCGCTAATTCGGTTGCTTCGGGACCAGGAATTAATTGATATACTCCATAAACTCGGTTAAATCTACCCACTGTTATCCATCCTCCTTCTGTTACTAATCTATCCTTAAATAATGCTATTTGAGCCACTGGTCCTCCCCAAGCATGAAATCCAAAATTCAAAAATAATAAAAATATCTTCCAATATGATAATTTTGGTATTTTAGAATTATCTTCAAATTCATCTCCTGGTGGTTCAAATGCTTCCTCTTCTAATAGGTTTTTTTTTTTAATTTCGCTCGTTGTTACGTTTGATATGGGATTCACGGATACGGCTGTTGATTCTGCGGAATTTTCATTTTGCTTTTCCACTATCATTTCATGGGAGGTGGTGTCTTTTTCATTATTGTCATCTACTTTCATATTGAAAATATTATAATTCTATTAATTCTTTTTTTAAAAGAAAAATGAATTAAATCCAAAAAACCAGAATCGAAGAATCTATTTATTCTCAATGGAAGATGATCTACTAGATCATCTTTCAAAAAAGGGAAATTTGTAATTTATTATTTAGATGAGACAAGTGAGACAAGTTAGACAAGTTAGACAAGTGAGACAAATCGGGAATACATAAATTTAAAATTTGGCTAATATCGCTGTATCATATGATTTGATAAATTTTTTTTTGATTGTCCCTGAGTGACGTTTTGTTTTTCTAATTTTTTGATTTAATAATTTAATAAATATTCTATTAAAAAATATACTTTTCCCAAGGTCATAAAAATGAAATTCACGATCTTTTGCGAACTCCTGTAATTGAAATGGTTTTATAATTCATTCCTAAGGGTAATTATGGATTTTTCGTGATTTATCTCGCATTTCTATCACACAACGAATAGAACAATCCTTATCAAGTGATCGACTTAATGCTTAATCAAGAAATGTTAACATGTATGACAAGGCATTTTTAGAAAACTATTGATAAGTCCAGAACGCAAGTGTAACGAGCAGATTTTCGTCATAGAGCCTAGATCATAATCTTTATTCTTATTCTATTTTGCTTCAAAATAATATAAAATTTTGTTATCTTTTAAAAAAGAAAATATAACTTTTATTTTAGAGTAACATTTTCGAATATAGTCCGAAGCGAAGCGTAGGACATTATCGGTCATAGAACATGTCCCCCTAAATTTAAGGCAATTGTAAAAATTTAAAATTATGACGCATTTAATTATTCTTAATCCAATGTTACACAAGATATGTCCCTTAATTAGGGTGTCCAGAATAGGTTGGCGTGACAGCCCAAAAATCGCACGTGATTTTACGATTTTTATCGCGAAAAAATCGCAACTAATAATTCTAGCCGAAATTTTATAATTTTTAGTAAATTGACCAAATTTATTATAACAAAATAAATGTAAAATATAAAATATAACAATTAACCATCCAAAAAAATATTTTATTCATTATTAATCGATATTTTCATTTAGATTAATGTAAAGAAAATTAAGCATTTGAATGCTTTCTTTTTTAAGTGCCACCCTTCTATTTGACAAAATTGTTTTATAGCTAGAAAAGCTACGTTCAACATCAACACCAGATACTGGTAACCAGATATATATTAATGCTAATGCACTAAGTTCTGGTAATAAATGTCTTTTACTACGCCAATATACATTTAAGTCTACAAATTCCTCATCTAATTCATTGAAACCACAATAAATGGCCCATTCTTGAATCAAATTATCAGTAGGAGAATGAAACTCTTTAATAATACTATAATTTGTCATATTAATATTTGCTATATTAGATTGAATAAATCTTGGATCAAAGCATTGTATTGCTTTAAATAATGATAAAGCTGAATGGTGAGAGAGATGTTTTTCACATTTTTCATAAGCCAACCTAAAAGCCTGAGAAAATAATGTAATAAATGCTTTTCTGTTACAATATCTTTCAATAAAAATATGTTCTATTTCATTTGATATTGGAGGAGTCCTTTTTCGTAATAAAATAAAAGCTTGAAGACAAACTATTCTTGAATAAACAAATGGAGCTATTGCTTTATTTCAGATTTTAAAAAATTATAAATCATTAACCAACCTAATTAAAAAATTTTTAAATAATTAATAAAGTTATTAATTTAATTAAAATTATTAAAATCTTTCTTATCTATTACAATTATATGTAATAAAACATATAAAAATTTTAACATATAAAACATAATTTTGGTTTTAACAAAAGTTATAAAGGTATCAGATAGCCTTTGAGATTATATTTTGAATTAATAAATGTAATTATATGAGAAATATAAAGGTTTAATTTAACACAAAAAAGAAAACCATGAATTTCATCTTGTTTTTACAAGTAATGGTATTAAAGTAGAGGATTCAATATTATTTTGTAATAAATATTCTTTTCAACGAATTTTTCTTTGTAAATTATAAATAAATATTGCTTTAAAATTTGCAACTAATTTATCAACTAAAATTGTTTAAAATTAATCCATGTCTCTCCAATTAAATTAAGAATGTGTGCTAAACAACAATTTTATTTTATGTTTGGTAAAAAAGGAGTTAAATGAGAATATACTAATTTCATATAAAAGGCATTATCTGTTATAAAAAAAAATAATATTTTGATAAGGAATTTTATAAAAATGAAGTGTATTCATTATAAATTGAGAAATAGAAGTAATATTTATATTATCTAAAAATTCAGTTCTAGCTAATTTGGTTTGATTACCAAAACTAAACAAAATATTAATAGTATTCGACAACAACGGTCTGTTATTTCATCAATTGTTAAACAAATAAGTTTGTCAATAATTTTATTTTTTAATTTTGAATTTTTAAATCATATGATAAGGAAGAAACTTTTCACAAAGTTGATTTGCTCCAATAATTAAACTTCTTAAAAATAAATTATTATTAATAATAAAAATATTAAAAAATTAAAATATAAATATAATTTCATACCATTTTTACAATGCTTTAATAAAAAAGGTTTTAATTTTTCAATTTTTCTAAGGGAATATCTGTAAGAAAAAAGGCTTCAACAACTTCTATATTTAATTTTTCTTTTTTATTTAATGTATTTTCAAATGATAGCAAAGTTCTTTGAATTAATAAAGGAGAATCATTTCTATGATTTTGTTATTTAGATGTTTTATTGTAATTAAATATTTATCTATAGGGTCTTTACTTTTATAGTCAACTTCTATATTGCAAAATCAACACTATAATAATCTGTCTTGTAAAATATAATTCTCTCAATATTCTACATTTTATGTAAAGCTCTGAACGGTTCAGTTTGATCTGGATTAGATGCTAATCTGTATCTGAACTGAAAATTTCGGTTCAGTTCAGTTCAGATTATTATCTTAAAAATGACAATCCGAATCTAAACCAAACCGCAGACTGGTAAAAATCCAAACTAAACCAGAATTTTCAGATTAATCTGAAATTACAGTTCAATTATATAAGGAATCTGCAATTTATATACAAAACTCTAGAAAAATCGCAAAAAATTGTGAATTTCTCTTCAAGGTTTACGAAATTCGAAGAGAAATCGCAATTTTTTGTGACTCTCTAAAAGTTTCACGATAATTTTGCGAAATTTAAAGAGAAATCACAAAAAATTGCGATTCTTTAAGAGTTTTGCTAAATTTTTGCGATCCTTTAAGAGTTTCGCATATAATCAAACTGAACTTTCAGATTAATCTGAAATCATCGGTTCAGTTCAGATTTTTTTCAGTTCAGATTAGAATTATAATCCGAAAAAATCCGAACTGAACTGAAAATTTTCAGATCGATTTTTATGCAATCTAAAACTGAACTGAACTGAACTAATCCAAAAAATCTTTAGATTAATCTGAACCGTTCAGAGCTTTAATTTTGTGCCAAACATATGTGAGAAGCAACCATTTTTTTTGGCGAAAGTTAAAAATTGATTTAATGAAAAAAATTTAGATTATCCTATCATATTTTAATGGTATGAAAATTGCAAAATTATACTGAAAATCGTCATCACATTAAAATTGCAAAAAAAGGTTAAAATCGTTAAAAAATAATGATCAACAAATTCTAGACACTCTAATGTATGTTAAGAATATTATAATTTTTTCCTTTCAGGAAAAATCATGGTATTTTTAACTCCATAAAATAAATGGGTAATCTCTAGAAGTATGTCACTCATTAAACAAAACACGTAATTATATATAATTAGTGAGTTAAAACTTTTTAGCAATTTAACTTTTTTTTGTCATTATTTTTTCTCACACTTCATTTTTTCCTTAAATTTTTCTTTTCTATTTCACAGTATTCAATTTATTTTTCTTTTTACATTAATAATAATAACGCGATTTGTTTTATCAACTAAAAAAACAAGTTTAAAAATTTCAGAATGCATTAAGAAATGTAAATACAGACAAATTTAATAATGCGTAAATAGGTTTATTTATTAAGTTTTATGAAGTCTATAGTTATTTAAATAAAATTGTTAAATTAAATAATAAAATATTATTTGAACAATTAGAAAAATTTTAGTAAAAGTAAGAAAATCTAATGGTTAAGAATATAAAACATTATCACTATATATTGGATTTTATGTATTAGTAAGAGGAGTTTCTAAAATATTTAAGAAAATTAGAGTTGTGAACTTATTTGATACTTCTCAATTTAAAAGTTTATATAGAATTTTAGATGATCGCATGAAATCAATTGCTAATTAAGAATAAAATAATCAAAAACAATCAGATCTTTTAGAAATTGATAAAATCAAATTTATATTTAACTTACCAGTCACTAAAACAGATACTCCTATAGGTCTTTTATAAAGGGTTTAGATTTAATTAACTTTATTGTGCTATTTAAGAGATGATAATGCTAAATGACTTAGATTATTAAAATAGATAATAGTAGAAAAAAGCTTTAATTATCTAAAGAAAAAAATCATGAAGGAGGAATTATAAACTATATGCAGCATCTGATACAAGTTTTATACCACCTGATACTTTAAGAAACATTTATACTCCTGTTGCAGATATCTAAAAATTCTTAAATAAACATCCTAATAATATTGAAAATAATTTTTTTTTGTATTAATCAATATATTAAAAAATATATATAATAGTAATTGGTATTTAACAACAAAGTTAGAAAAAGAATTATATGATATGATAATATATAATATATGTTCTGATTCTGATTTAGATTTTAAAGATAGTAACATTATTAATCATTTAATGAAATCAACAGATGGGGTCTTTGCAATAGAAAGGAAGAAAACTTTAAAAAAATTAAAATTTTAGTTTATAAACCAAAAATGTTCTAAATACTATAATTTGTTTAGATTTATTATTAACTCATTTTTTATTTTTTTTTGAGTTTCCTCCCTTTCTATTGCAAAGACCTTAGATATTC